GAATCATCAAAATCACATGGTTGAGGGATACAAGGAGTTGCGGTGTAAGTTTGTTGAATAGGAGGATTTACCATAACTGGAGAAGGTATAATTTGTGAATGGGGAATCATTAGAGGGATAATGGAACGATGACTTGGCAAGAGAGTTTGAATTGTGGTGAGTGAGTGTTGATGAGAAGTTGGGCTTTGTGGATTAGAGTCGCAAGAAACCTCCGATCCCGAGCTATCAAAAGAACCATTAGGGTTACCATTAGCAGCACCCCAATCTCTACGACGACGTTGAATCTTTGACTTTCGCATAGCAACCGGACGATCTCTGTTATGTAATTTAGCGTACAAACCACACGCATTGCAAATAGGTTGACCTTTTTCATTTTTTCTCCATAATGGAGTTTGGGTTTGAGCACAATTAACACAACGAATTGGTAAATCATTATTAGGAGTCACAACGGTGACTACAGATTGTTGTTGTTGCTGTTGTTGTTGTTGTTGCTGTTGTTGTTGTTGAGATACATGCTGAGAAACTTGTAACGGTTGTTGAGAAGACAAAGATTCTGAAGAGATATTAGCAACAGTATTTTTTCGTGATGCGGGGAGTGTATAAGGAGCATTATTGTTACTTGGCTTATTTCTGACATGTAATGGTCTATGAGTATTATATTGTTTATAATACAATCCGCAAGCATTGCATAATGAATGCATTCTATCGGGAGTGCGACGCCAAAGCGGAGTTTTATTCACACCACAATTATAACACTCAACATTACGTGGTGGTTTAGTGCTCGTATGCTTTTTAATAGATTTTGATTTGAGGGGCGCTTGAAGTGGGTTGACAACTTCAGGTGAGACGCCTATATTAGTTGTTAAGACTGGCTGGTGAGGAGAAGATGGAGCGGTAGAAAATGGACTAGTATGAGACGAAGTAGTCTCTACAGGAGAATTTTCCGAGTCGTGTCGCGAAGTATCACCTTATTTAAGGTAATAATAGTAATAATAATAATAATAATATTTAATATTAATAATTATTATTATTATAATTAAAAGTCAAGTTTTTTTTCGAATAAAATATACTTACCGCTTGATAAAATTTGTGTCATTTGTATATCTTTGATCATACCATTATTTTCTTCATTTGGTTCAATCTTGACAAAATTTCCCACTGAGATATCTTGCAAGGATTTTCTACGAGATTGAATTTGATGCATAGAAGACAAAGCCAAAGAGCTTGCTTCAGCCAAAGCGGCAAAATCTTGATCACTAAAGAAATCCAAAGGAGAATTTAAAGTTCCATCCAACATAGCATTGTCGTTAAAATTGTCCCCAATATTGCTGTTAACTGGAGAGTCTAAAGCAGAAGGAGAAACTTTTTCATCCGTTGGACTACTCAACATTACATCGTTAGGCTCGAAGAGAGATTCGCCTATCATAAAAGAACCAAGCGGAGATCGAAGCTGTTGCATCGCAGGATTTGTCAGAGAATCATTCCCAGCATTTGTATCCAACCATTGAAGCGTTAATTTTTGATCCGACATTTCATCATTCGAATTGTGAAGGGACGAAGACATTATTTCGTTATCGGTCATTGGGAGTACGATAGATGGATGAGCAATCAATTGGTACGTTGGAATTTGCACCTGGAAAATCTTTTCGTGGGACGGCGCAGGAATAGCGTAGGCGTAAGAGAGATTCGGTGCGTAAAAAAAAGCGCTATCGATATTCATTAAAATATGATTTGGAGTCATTGTCGAATTTTTGATGGTTGTTGTACAAAAAAAGAAAAGGAAATTAGGATGCTTATAATCGACTAATGAAAAATTTTGTTCTGTGGCTATGCGATACTAATATAAAAAATAATAATCTATTGCACTTTTTTTCTTTTAAAGAAATTGCAACTAGCCGAAGCCCAAAGGTTTTTTTATGTATGTATGAGTTTGTTGTGATAACAAAAAAAATCGAGTAAATAAATACGTAAATAAATAAGTATATATATATATTAAAATCGAAAATGTTCAGTCGACGTCAGTTCCAACATGTTCACCATTGTGCATGTAAAAGTAATTCATTTTGTAATAATTAATTACTTAAAAAGACAAATGAAACTATTCTAGGAAGCACTGAAAGTTAAGAAAGAGCAAAATTGCAAAAGATAATGCAATCTTAAAGTGCTACACGGGAGAAAAAAAAAGTATCTTTTATATTAGGGAAATAACCGACGTTCTGATAAAGTAGCACTTTCGAAGAAATGTACTGACGCACGAAATAATAAAGCTCAAGAGGTTGTTTGAACAAAGAAAACAATATTCGCGTAATTTTTTTTTGATTCTCCACTTACTCTTATTAAAGCCGAATTTTTTTTGTTCCTGGCTGGGGACTGGGCTCTGAAATGGCGGATATATAGCCAAAAAATTTTTGAATTGAACACATACGTAACTATTTATATGCTACCATAAAAAAAAAAAAAAAAAAAAAAAAAAAAAATCTTGCACTCGTGCACAACTGAGTACAGGTTTATGGTTTGTCAAATGGCTTAGTTAAAAAAAATCCATTAGCTATTAGCCAATCACAATGTGACGTCTGAATTAAGACTTGTGTGATAACAGACTGAAATTTTTTTTCCTAGCCGGGGATTTTTTTTTTTTAGAATAGCACTTTTGCACATGCTGCATACATAAAAATTCTAATATTCTACTGACATATCGGACGGACAATTAATTCTAGGCACAGCCGTCAATATCGATCTTACTTAGTTTGGTTCCGAACTTGGCTGAGTCATATTCTTGTATAGATTTTGGTCGGAATAGGTCGGAAATGCGTCTTACTCATTAAATACTTATTAATGTTAACATGTATTGCTAATGAACGAAACCCTGGATGTATTTATAGATGAGATTTCCAGGTTGGTGATGTTCATCTATGTATACCAGCAACTTAAAATTTCCTATAAAATACAGCCAATTAGGTAAACAGCCAATCATTTCTTCTGTAAAAAAGAAAAAAAAAAATTACCTAATCAGAATCGCTACAGTGGTACGTATGAACGTAAATTGAAAAGTAACGATGAACAAAACAAAATATGAAAAGAAAAAAAAAAAAAAAAAAAAAAAAACAAAAACAATCCAAAAAAAAAAAAAAAGCAACACAAAAACTCGCCATTTTCTCAGCCTTTGGTCATAATAATTTTGAGGTTACTTTCATACTTGACTTGACTACAATGGTGACGATTTACTACACAACATTATCATTTTACTACACAACATTATCATTAATATAAATTCATGTTAAGCCCGCCGTCGTGCAAATCATGCAATACGATTTTTTTGATATACCCTTTACGGGCAAGATTTGCCCTGTCAAAAGCTCATCATATAATCCCCCCCACTGAAAGCTGAGACTTTAACATAAATGTGAAAATGAATAATCTATTCACAGACTTGATTTAAATTAGACCTTGGATACGTACGACACTGCGAGATAAGATTACGAAGTTGCGAAGTTGATTTTCAAAACTTTTTTTCGTCGATTCTTTAATTGTTGGTATGTGACCGTTTCTTCCCGATTCGTGTGTTGCACTACATAAATGGTGCAAAACAATAACAATGTTAAATGTTTAAATATAAGCTACTATTTAAAAAAAAAAAAATTCTATTAAAATACGGTGGTACAATATTATAATGTAGTACCTTTGCATTTGTATATTAATATGATGAGTTTACAATGATTTGCTAAGCATTTGCACATAATATACATAATATTTAAACATGCTCGTGAATAACTCGGGATTACCCAAAGTAATCCTGTTTGAAGAAAATAACAACAGGTTTTTTCGGATAATACAGTAATACGCGCAATGCAATGTATGAAAGGTCGGCAAAGGAGGGACGCGGAAATCGGATAAACTTTTATAGTCTTGGTGTCTGCATTTCTCCCCACATTCTATATACACATTCTATATACACATTCTATATACACATTCTATATACACATTCTATATACAACGATATACAACGATATACAGCGATATACAACGATATACAACGATATACAACGA